TTTATTAAGGGACATTTGGCGAGATCCTAAGGAGTGGAACCGGATGTGAGACAGGGTGTGGTGCAGAAGATCCGTTGCGCATTTCTTGGATTACTTTTAGGAAAAATCGTTCAAAACGTTCCTTACATTTTACAAGATGACTTTTTTCGTCCCTCACTTTTAAAAATGTAATTTTACGTCCCTTATAAATTCATATTGACCATATTTGGTCCCTATCTAGGTTTCCGATTAGTTTTTTGTCGGAATCCATCACGTGACTTGCATGTGATTCATAGTCTGATTTTAAGAACAAAATTGTCAAATCAAATTTTTACATAATCTGATTCATAGTCCCTCACATTTCACAAAATGAATTTTTTCATCCCAAACATTTTACAAAATGAATTGTTTCGTTTCTCACATTTCAAAAAATGAATTTTTTTATCCCTCATATTTTTCAAAATGAATTTTTTCATCCCTCATTGATCATGTGTATGAATAGTTTTTTTCTATAAATCCACATATATGTTTATTTGATTTTACCTAAACAGTACAAATATCATGTAATTTATCTCTATTGGATTTCATCTAAACATGTTAATCGTAGTTATATACATGCTATTCAATAGATATATATAGGGGTTTAAAACTAATAATTTTGTTTGAAACCCATGTATATATTTATATGATTTTACCATTTGAACCTATTCAATATTTGTGACCTTTCTCTTTTGGTAATAATTTATTTATTGAGTTGTATAATAAGGTAATCTAATTAATGAATCCTAACTCGAATTCTATAATTGTGTTAACAAATTTCAATTTAAATCTGAAATTTCTATTCGATACTTTTAAGACCAACAGTTGAATTACTTGTCTTGTAATTGTCTTAAAATTTGAAAGTGCAAATCATTTATTTCTTTTGTCATACTTTTCTTTTGTTTATTTTTTCTATCCAAATTTAATTCGATATAAACACTCGATAATATTTAGGATTAAATGTCTGCTTTATTTTCAAATTTCGAGTAAAAAAAGAATATATGTGAAAAACTAACAATTTTTTTAAACCCATGTATATATCTATTTGATTTCACTTGAGCAGTACGAATAGTATGTAATATATCTCTATTTGATTTCACATGCTAGTCGCGCTGTTCAGGTAAAATCAAATAGATATATACATGGATTTTAAAAAAAAAATTATTCACACACATGATCAATAAAAGATGAAAAAATTCATTTTGAAAAATGTGAAAGATGAAAAAATTCATTTATGAAATGTAAGGGACGAAAAAATTTATTTTGTGAAATGTGAGAGATTATGAATTGAATTATATAAAATTTGATTTGACAATTTTACCCTTAAAATATGATCACGTGCTTTGCACGTGGTGAATTCCGACAAAAAACTAGTTGGAAATCTAAGTAGGGATCAAATTTGATCAATATGAATTTGTATGGGATATAAAATTACACTTTTAAAAGTGAGGGACGAAAAAAGTCATCTTGTAAAATGTCAGGGACATTTTGAACGATTTTCCCTTACTTTTATAAAGACACTTGTCTAAATTTACTAGTATATTTTTACAGCAAGACTAATATTTGAAACCTCTCTTTTGTAACAAAATTAACCATACCTTTCATTTTATGGGTTGAGTTGATGAGTTCCTGTTACAAAGGAGTAAGAGTGTAATTAATTTAAGAAACGTCTAAATGTAAAGGGTGTAATAAATATGAATCTGTTAAGTTTGGTATTAATTTTTTAGTAAGAGCATTATTAATTTAGTAAACGTATAAATATAAAAGGAGTAATAAATGTCAAAGTGTGCAGCTATATGATTAGCTTGGTGTAAACTAGTTTTACTAACAAACTCGATATCTGTCCCAAAAAAGGTTAGGATATAATTCAAATGTTAGATTTGTTTAAAAGGTAAAATCTATTTGAGAAAATATATAAATACAAGGACATGTATTAATTATTAGTGTGCATGCATACACATGACAAGATGTGTGGAATTTTTGGTGCGCTATACACTAATATGTAGATAGTACCACCACAAAAAAAACGTAAGAAAGACGGGCTTCACCGACTTCAAAGAATAGGTCATATACTAGATTTTCGATCCATACACGTAAATCTATACGGTCATATGGAATACTTGATAGCGCATTTTGAACATGTAAATTAGTAATACTGGTTTAAGAATCCCCTTCCTTTTCAAGAGTCTACTCCAGCAAAGGAAAAGAACAGCTACATCAGTTGCTTTGGTTAGGACAAGCGTATAAGAAATAAGATTTAGGATATCAATTGTCAAAGTGACTATAAAACATACTGAGTTAAAGGCTGGCCCAATTCAGTGGAATGGAAGGAATGATCTAGGACCAAAAAATTCTGATTTTGGCGGGATGAGCTATGGGGTTGTAAAAAAAATCCCAAAAATCTATTTTTTCTTCCACCTTGTATCACCACTCATCTTTTTTCCTTCCTTCAATAACTACAGCCTTTCTTTGATTACCGCTCTGGTAAGTTTCTTGCTATCCCAGACCAGTAATAATGTTTCTTTATGTACAGGTGTCTTATGAATATCCAACTTGTGGAGGTCTAAACTGCACCGTTGAAGTTTACACCTTGCTATCTTCACATAGCTCAAGAAGCACCTGTCAGAAAACTGAAGCAGACACTTGAAGATTAGGCGAAATGTGCACGCTGGAAGTAAAAGAGGGAAGAAGTCTCGTGCCAAAAGAGCTGCCTTAGTGCAATGCATGATATTGTCTATGAATGTTACCACAAAACAGCCTAGACAGCTAAAACTTCCACTGATAGACAACAACTTCAACACAAACTATGCACACTAGCAGCTGTGTCAGGCTATTTGCATTTTACTGAAACATTTTCTTGTCCCCTTAAATCATCATTGAATTGGGAGTTTCAAAGAAAAAGAATCTATGCTTAAAGCACTAGTATTTTCCATGTGCAGCATTATTATTATTATTGCAGAAAAAAATATGGTGAGAACCTTCAAAACCTGTAAAAAGAATGCCTCAACTTACATCTGGAATGTCAAAGTCACCGTCGCTCGCATCACAAATATCAAGTGACATTTTCCGAAGCATTGGCATCTGCAGCCAACAACCAGAAGCAGATCAAATATGCAAGTTCATAAATTCAGTTTCACTAGGAAATGGAACTTTAAAAGGATTTAAAGAACATGGAACCAGTAAGCTCACCTCTGAAGCCATAAGAACAATAAAGTTTTTGGGAATTCCAGTGCCCTACATCTTGAAATTTAAAGTTCAGATCAGGCCCACTGAATTGTTACAAAAAGAGGTAAGAGATAAATTATCTCACACTATAGGTGATCTGGAGAATTCTGAAGCTTTTGAAAAATTTTATTAACTTCAAAATTCTCCCGAAACTGTTCCATATATGCCAAATATCGCAGGGACAAAGGGAACCAGGGCTGTTTACCCAATTATTACATTTCTCGTCGAATATTTAAAACATAATTTTGTTTGTATTAGGTTCCCAAACACATTTAAGTTGAATTCTATGAAGCCAACTTCAGTTATTTGAAAGCCAAAGCATATTATTATTTCTTCTCCCTCTCTGTTCCATTATCCTGCTCTTGCTTCTTTCCTCATCAGGTTTTAGTTCACATATTTGCCCTTTCTCAATCAGACTGTGGCAACACCATAAGAACAAATAGCACCTATTCAAGTAGAGATCAACTTAAATATATATATATATATATATATATATATATATATATATATATATGACCACCAGGATTCTGTTCTGAATCGACCTCTCTCTCTCTCTCTTCTTTTTTCTAATATCAGTTGCATCCATGTTATTGTTTTCCTAGATCATACAGTCTTTTTTATCAACTTTATGTCTTGGTGAGAAAATTTTGGTTGTTTATAGTGCCTCTTCAACCTTAAATGTCTGTGGTTTCTCCTCAATTTGAAAATGCACCCGCTTAAGTTTGAGGCTTAATTCCCCTGGTGTAGTCATTAAACTTGGTGAGTCCATTTTCATTTTGACAAATAATTATACTACAATATCTTGAAGAAAACTTGCAAGACAAGACCCCAGTCACAATTTTGGGACTTCTGATAATCTCCAGCATAGTTGATGTCCTGATAGCTGTCTCAGTCTTAGCCTTGACGACCTTGTTCCAATCCTTGATCATGGTCTTGCGGCATCTGATTCTTAGCTGCCTGCTCCAACTGAATTGGATAGGCATAACTAGATTGGCACCCATACTGCCTTCTCTGTAGTTTCCACAAATTTTGAAGATTTTGGAGATGGGCATATGCAGTAACATTGGCAGCTCTGCAAGCTTCCAAGGCAGTGACCACTTCACCACAGTGTGAGTTTTGCCTCGCATTTTTAAACCAGTTCGTGGTTGTGGAAGGAGAATTACTCTTTGTAGATAAACCCAGCGATGAAGTATATTTAGTTTTTTGTAAAGTCAAGAGACGAAGTCAACTAAGGTCAACTTTAAAGCCAATCTCCAAGAAGTCAACTTAAAAGTCGATTTCCAAGAAGTTGACTGTAGTCTCAAGAGCTCAACTTCCACATTTTTGGAAGTCCATTAAACATTAACAAAATTTTTAAATTTTAAAAAAAGCAATACTTGCTTACACGACCTGAGGTACAAAGGGGAGTCTGGCAATATTTCACCTTATTTTCATTTGTTAGCTTTAGAGGTCCAAAGGGGAATCAGGCTACAAACTTTCTAGACCCTGAAAGCAATAAAGGGTTCAATAGTCTTTCGAGCTCGAATTTCTTAAAAAGATGCGCAACAAACTTAAGCATTTTGTGCTGAATCAAAAGTAATTGTTCAACAGCAATAAAGTATTCTTCCTGACTATGAACCTTTATTTTATAAACAGATAAGCAAGGAAAGAGGCAATTGACAACTCACAGTATGACGTAGCAAGAGATCTTCAAGGGCTCGACAGTTCATAAGAGGTGAAACACCATGGGCTGTTACTTCCCCACAGTCCTAATAAAAATTAAGAATTGCTGAACATGAGAGGCAGTAGGGGCAGTTACTGAGAGCCACATAAGTTTAGAAATTGATGAATAGTTTATTTATTATGACAGAACCAGTAAAAACATTCCTGTCACCATAGAAAAAGCAAAAAGAGGAGAGAACACCTTGAGAGGTCAATAATGAATTTTGGAACTCTCTGCAGACTTTTGAATGATATTTGAGCATTAAAGGACCCCAGGTCATCAAAAATAGGTAACCTAATGTCTCTTCTTGCCATTGATTCTTCTGTAAAATGCTTTGGGCGGAAAATTTTTTGAACAGAAATATAGCTGCTATAGAAAGATCACATCCCCCAAAATGTTCCACTACCAGTAATGTGCAATTTGTGCTCAAGAATTGCAGTCACAGAGGCTGTAACAAGTGGATGATCTGAATGACTGAACTAAATAAAACCTAAAGCCGGCAAAGGAAAAAGCTTAACAAGTGATTGCTTAGATCTCGTTTCCCTCTTGTACCAACATATTCCCAGGTCGACAGTCATTGTAAAAGGCTTGTAGCCCATCTATGATAAGGATAATGGAGCCTTGGGACATAAAACCCCTTCTTTCTTTCTTTTTGTTTGGGCTGGGGGAAGGGGGTGCAGGGAGAGGTGAGAGGTGAGAGGAATCATTTCCAGAAGGGACTAAATCGTTACAGAGCTATGGCAACATATATTTTAGAAAGGCGAATGTGGGCACTCACTTTTGAAGCTACAAGAACCTTGAAACTTTCACAACCACTTAACAAGGCAGTCAGGAGAAAATTTATAAAATACGGATCTACAAACCACCAAAACTGTAAATATGGAATTTAACAATAATGCCAATGTCCAAGGCACATCCAATAATGAAAAAGAAAAATGAGGCAAGACCTGATTCTGTTAGCAAGTACTGTTTTTGCAACACGAGGGAGTGTTCCTCCTCCGTAGTAATACTGCTAACAGTTTAAGGAGAAATACATGTGCAATGATTTATGTATTAGCAATACGCTCATTGCTGAAGGACAAAATAAGGATGATATAAGTTTTAGAGCAATGTGACAAAGTGGAATTTGAAATGTACAACCCCTAAGAAAATGCACACAGGACACAACTCCCAAAGTAAATGGAAGTGCATACCAGCTACTATCCTACGAATACTTTTTGAGTTTTGAGAACATAGTCTTCCTATACAAATCTCAAGAACTAGACAAAAGATGACTAACCTCAAGATGCATAGAGATCAAACCTGGCCAGCCACATGAAATGATATCTTGGGATTCTACAAACAACAGCAATCAAAAATTAAATTTGAGTCATTTATTGCCTCACAATTCAAAAGTTCTACTTGAATTAACAATAGGGTGCAAAATCAAATAGAACACAATGAATAGAATCTGCCACCTGCAGCAGCTTCAAGAACATGAGAGAGGATGCAGGTTCTAAGAAAATGCATTTCAATCATTATTACCAACCTGGATTAAGAAGTCTGCATCCAAGCAATGAAAGATCAACCAAATTTGGACAATTTTGAGTCAGAATAATTAAGTCAGTATTTGTCATCCAAGCTGCAACCCTTTCAAGTTTCAAATTCCTCAAATTTGGCATGCTGATCTGAAAGCTTAGTGAGGAAATCTGACCAAAGCAATAGCAGAGAGCCAGTACTTGCAGTTTTCTAAGGGTTTTCATAATGTTGATCACAAGAGAGTCAGATATCACCTGTTATAAGCAGAACATATTACCCACAAATTTCACATAGTTCTTCACATATAAAAAGGACAAGAGATCAAACTACTCTAACCAAATGGTTTCAAAGCAAGCAAATAAAATCACTTCTTATTATGTTACTAGTCAAGGTAAATCAAAAAGGAAAAAGTTGTACATATAAAGTCTGCAGAGATTGAAAAAGATGGTGAACTAGATGCGTATGCTGCAGATAAATGAAAGATTGCAGCAGAAAATCCAAATTATTTCGATGTCCTGAGCAAGAACATAAATCGGTTGTGTTTGTTTTCTTCTTTTGGGGTGTGAGTGGGGGCAGAGTGGGGCAGGGTCTGTGCAAAATTAATATTTGCTTCAGTTGGCTTAGACATTTCTCTATCATTGTCAAGGCACAAGATGAGTAAACAAATTTCTCAATCATCATTAATATCTGTTTGGACATTTGTCTGAATAGAAATTATACGCAAATGAAGGAGAAAAGAACCAAGAGTAACAGATATAGGACAAACAATTAAAAAAGAAATTGATCTACAATCTCTCACAATCTGTTTGTAGTTTATGTACTAGCTAATGCCACAGAAGATTCAGCACCTGATGACAGATATGATTTGGTTTGATCACATATAAGAAAGGGCCACAGTTACCTGGAAATAAATCATCAGCGTTTCTAACAAAGGAGAGAAAGCAGGTAAGAGTCTGAGCCCATCATGCCCCAAGGACCCACCTAAACCAACTACCAATGTCCGCAGTGATCTAATTGCAGGTTTCAAGCTCTCCAAAGAAAAGAATGAAAATCCCCATCCAACTGCAATTTCCTCCAACTGGCACGACTTGCCAAGTTCAGAATGCAACTCTGTCGAACTATATGCCAAGTTAGAAGGCTCTCTGCCTTCAGCATCCATAAAATTCAGTGACAAATGCTTACAGCCTCTTGCTTTCAGGCATTTCAGACCAGGATTTCGATGGATTAAGTGAGCAAGAGCAAGGCTAGAAACCTAAGTGAAAAATTCTCTCATCAAACAAAGACATTGCCATGAAAAGCTTTGGAAACCAAGTGTTGAAAACCACATACATGAAACAGCAAAGAGAATTCTATATGGTTTATCAGTTATCACACCTTGGTTTCAGAAATATCTAGCATCTCCAAGGAACATCCTGGAAAGCGATCGAGAGCATCATCCACAAGGTGGGTTTCCCTTAAAGATACACTCTTTATCATAAGAGTTTGAGATAGAAGTTCTGAAAGAGATGCTTCACTGACCCCTGCAATTAATAACAGTGTCAACATAATATTCTTGAGAGCAACATGTCTACATTCTTAAACGGGAAGGAATAAAACTTCAGCCAACAGAAGAGGAAAAAAATTATATCACTTACCCATGCAGCCACCTATATGTAGAGTATGGAACTTAGAAGCAAACGAGTGCAAGGGTTTTTTAGCTTGTGGCTCTACATGGTCCTCAAGGTTGTGAACACCAGAACAAAGCGCCGAGATTGATTCTTGCCCAAAATAAGTATCACAAGCCAAGATTGAGCGAAGCAAAATGCAGTTTAGTATTACAAAAGATATGCCAGAATCTGTTACTGACATACAACCATTAAGGTTAAGGTAACAGAGGGATGCACATGATTTGGTGATCTTACGCAGGTCAGAATCTGGGGAAAACATAAAAAATGACAGTTATATAGCACGGTTCAATAATTATCAAAGCATAGCACTGTTTCAAACACAATCAGAAAAAGAGTCACAGCCAAAACTCAGACAGCACAGTACCAACAACCCCGCCCCCCCCCCCCAAAAAAGTGAATGAAACACACTCTGGAACTCAACAATCTAGGACTGGCAAACAAACAAATTGTACAAAGGCTTAATAAAACAGCACATTCTAACTGTATGCAACAGGTGCATGACAGAGGAGATCAATTTCCAAAGTTGTTTTCAACTGAGCTCGACAGCTCCAATTCCAGATAATAAACACGCACATGAGGTATAGGTGAGTTTGATTATCTCACCAGCAATATCACTTCTGCCCTGCAATGTGAGCCTTGTGATATTTGAAAGTTGTCGTCTGGACATGTTACTCAACAAGGCATCCCAAGGGCAGTGATCATCATTTGGGAACTCTCTTGATCCTAGGGGAGATAGAGCAGGTTGTGAAGATACAACGGATACTTTTGCAGGTATAAGAGGGCTAACATCCACTGTTAGGTCAATGTTGCACAGAAGAGGAAATCTTGCCAACAAGCGAATCAACTTCTCAGTTCCAAAGTCTACATAATTTACGGCCCTTAGCTTCCTCAAGGATGGAAAGGACTTGGAGAAGCACTTGAGAGCATCCTCAAGATCCAGCATTGGACAATTTGAAATATCCACCTCTTCTACAGCTTCAAAAGTCAAAGTTGGCAAGTGATCCACATTGAGATATTGAAGGTTGAGCAAAGGTCGCTTAAATTTTTTTCTTTCCATTATATCCCTGCTGTATAGAGGAGGAAGTAATGACAAGAGCAGAATAGGCCTAATTTGCGGGCAACCTGAAAGATCCACCTTCTGCATGGTGAACTAGGGATCAGTAAGTTACCAATTACTATGAGAAACCACCAGATGTACCAAAGCATTACAGACATAAAAGAGAATATCAAGGCAAGCCTCAAACAATTCATCCATTGTAAAGATCAGAATATCTGTGTGTCTGCATACTGTAATATGTTTTATTCACACATATAAGCATGCTCGTATCTGTATGTGTGTTTCGGCCCACATAATTTACAAGGGGTAAAAAATGCAGATGAGTATAACCTTAGTAAATTCTGTTAATCGAATTTGCATACAACTCAAATCACAATCTGCACATATGTTTCCCACATCGACAGAAGGATGTCCAGCTAGCTGAAGGATAGCATCAACGTTTTCATCAGCAAACTCTGCAAAGAAGCAGCATCTTCTTTTACCTAAGAAAAAAGCAACTTAGATAAAGTTAGTTTTTAAGATTAAAAAAATGAATTAAGATAGTTATATTTAAAAGAAATCCTCGCTAGAGACAGTTACCAGCAAGAAACCACAGAGGCAAACAATTACACCGTATCTGCAAAAACAATGGTGAGAGAGAAAGTTAACATATTGATGAAACATATTAATAGCCATTATGTGAAAATCTTCAGCAATTTCCATGTAGAACATGACACTAGTTTCAGATACTCAATCCAAACAGTAGAAACTTAAGAGCAGTATAGGGAGAGATCTATGTTGAAATGCTACATTGTCTACAAGCCTAAACTGGTTTGTTTGGATAGAGGTTATTTGAAATATTGTTTGGAATAATTACTATAGCACTTTTTGTAATGTGATGTATGTGAGATAAAAAAATGATTGGGAATATAAAAAGGTGGGCTGAAAAATGTGTTTATGATGCAAGCAAAATAGTATTTGAAAAAATGGGGTATCCAAACAAACCCACTAGTATCCCAGGAAAATACCATGCATGCTCCCATGAATATTATTAATGTTATGATTATCAATTAACATATATCAAAGAATACAACACCACAATTTTAAAAACTGGTTTTTTTGGATAGAGGTTATTTGAAATATTATTTGGAATTACTGTAGCACTTTTTGTGATGTGATGTATGTGAGATAAGAAGATGATTGGGAATATAAAAGGTGGGTTGAAAAATGTGTTCACGATGCAAGCAAAATATTATTTGGAAAAATTGGGTATCCAAACAAACCCTAGTATCCTAGGAAAATATCATGGGTGCTCCCATGAATATTATCAGTTAACATATATCAAGGAATACGACACCACAATTTTGCCAATGCAGCACTAGAAGAAAAATTTGAGGAGAAATTGATATGCTTAATTAGTCCTGGTAATTTCAAGAATATGACTTTGCTAGGTCAAGAAACAGCAACTCAGAAAGACAATTCAACTCGTTCATTCTTGAGGTAGATGAATTAGATGCAAAGTTTATTCCCTCCTGTACCTGCAAGGTAAATTGTTCCAGCACCATTTTCCTTTAATAATACTTTCCAGGAGAATAAATTTAAATTCTAAGGTCAAATTGCAATTTGCCGGTAACATTTTAGCGGACATGAACTCGCTATTTATACATTTCAATTGGTAAACTACAGATGCGCATATAGCTTGTGGTTCACTACATGACTCATAACAAGAACAATATCTTGGAGCAGTTACCCAACCTAGCAATTTGAAAGAGCACGTTACTATCACTAACTTCCAGTAACCAAGCTTTGCATGAGCCACACTCTTTCTCCATTTTGAAATTAATAGGATAGATAATCATACTAATATGCTTGCTTGACCATTCATTTGATAGGATGCTTTCACAAAGTGGAATAGTTTCTTTATGTAAAACAAGGAAAATTGGGTATCAAAAGACATCTTATGGCTAAAAAACGTGTTTACTCTTCTTATTCTGCCATATCACAATGACATCCAAAGCCTACTATTATATTCTCTTTGCAGTCTTCAGTCATTCAAACCAAGCCGCAATGCACAACTTAAATGCGAGAAAATACAATTCAGTGAATAAGTGATACATTTCTTAGAAGTTTGTAAGATTGTATAGATAGATTTTGCGTGGTTAACATCACCAGCAAACCCAATTCCCAAAAACAACCTTTAGAAAGACAATCAATCTATTTACAGACCATGATTTGCCATAGGAGATTTTGCATTCAAACTTTGGCAGAAGAACAACACTGCACCAAATTTAAATAATAATGATAACAAAAGAATATGAGCATGTTGAAACTTCATCTTATTTCGAAGATCTATAAATCAGAATTTCTATTATTCCAATCAGTAAAAAATGGCCTCACGATACATTTTGGTTACAGTCCTTGGAAGATCTAATAACCACTAAAAAAAGAAACTCTTAACTGATTCTTATGATAGTGAACAAGCATCTACCTACCGATCCAAGACATAAACAGAATGGCTCTAAAGGATACCTGTCGCAACATGCCAGTGCAACCATCTTCAATAGTCTTTTTTCGGATGTTAGCAGCAAGCCAAAGAAGAATGGCATCACAAAGATATTTCTCGCTGTTAGGGATAGGTTAACTAATATCAGCATTATAATTGACACTATTAATCTACTACAATGGCAAGTTAAAAAGGCAAAAAATCCAACCTATCTATGGTCAATTCGGGATGTTGAATGCATGTATTTAGTAACTGGTAAGGAACATCCAAAAAAGAGTCACACAACATTGCCCATTTCTGGAGAAGTATAATATACGCAGTTAGATTGAAGAAAGAAGGGACCAGCACAATTGGTGATGGAAATAGATGATTTGGCAGGGATAACAAATCCAAAATCCTAAGCACTTACGAGGTTCCTTGCTAGATAACTCGTGCAAAGATGTAGAATCAAATCATTTGCTGCAACATATTCCATTTTCATCTATAAGATGGAATGATATAACATACATGTCAAAACACAACCTAACAAACAAGATCTTACAAATGCCATTTTCATAGTTTCCAAGCAGTAAAAATCTTCCTTACCATGCTCTACACCATAATTCCAAACACGGATCAAAGCATCTACTTGTAGTTTTGGAGTCAATGGGTCCTTGGAAGATGTTACTTCACTCAACCAAAGCTGACATTGCAAGAGCAGCGATTCCACTCCAAAAAATAGAGCAGCCTGATACATAAATAGCAAGTTTGAAGAATCAAATGAATCATCTCAGAAACAGGTCATATTTCTTGTCCATCTAGACTTTAAAATATACAACATATTAGAGTAGTACAGTGGCAGCAGAAAAAACTACATAATACATGAAGGTTTTGTCATCCCAAAATTACACCAAGTCATTATCATCCAAAACATAACTCTTCCATTCAAAATGACTTTATACAGAGCTCTTAAAGATGTCAAATAAAGAAAGAACAAGTTATTTCCAGGAGAAACTGCATTACACAATGGGTTTGACATGTTTCAGCAACAAACTTGAAACCATTCTTTCATTGGTGTAAATATGAATATGGATGAATTTCTGAAAACAACATGCTTTCATGAAGCAGAATAATGAAAAAAAACATGCACAATGATTACTGAAAAAATTCTGTTGTAAAATCCTTCAACTTAATGCCACACTGTCTTCAATTTAACCGAAAATATTATCTATGGACACACTAACTTTATGAAGTTTGATGTTCTTTCGAACTGTTGAAGGCCAATATGATGAATGTTTGGCTCCCACAGTTATCATGCATTACTAGATGAGATTAGGTCTACATGAATATAAATGCATGTGCTGAATCTGCTTAAGTTCTATACCAATTACGTTCAGTTCGAATATCATGATGACAACCTCAAGGGAATTAAAAATTGTCCAAAGAAATAAAATGAGAGTTTGGTTGAACAAATAAGATTCATGAGGAGCCAAATTGCCAAGGGGCCACGAACGGAAACATAAATACTTTAGTTAGATCGAATCTACAACTTCAAGAAGAAACATGTTGGTGTTCGTGATATTCTTATGTACTTCTGCACCTGTGGGAACCGTTGTTTCTGTTATTGTCCACCTGAGCATCAATTTTAGTGTATGTCTTCCAGTTATTATCAAGTTAAACCCTTCATCCATCTTGAACAAAGAAGTTAGGAGCATTCTTTCCACTTTATACCATCAACTCTCCATTCAAACAGAAGGAATATATACATATATATATAAGCTTTCGTGATGTTTGCGGCGTATGACAGCTTGAAGCACATAAATTTTTGACAAAAAGCAGGATTCCAAGTTCAAATGAAGCTTCTAAGCCAAACTGTCAAATGTTGTCAAAATCAATAACATGTTATAACCTCTTATGGTCTTACCTCATAGAGAAGAATAAAATTATCAGAGGTGATCTCCACATAATATCCAAACATGAACCTCAAAACACTAAAAAATGATTGTGCGTTCCAATGAATTGATACCAAATCCAGGCAAGATTCACTGCAGAAATCAACAAAAAAAATGTTTTAATAGCTACCAAATAGGTACCAAAGAGCTAAAATATCACAATACTTTATATCCGGTAAAAAAAAAAATTTCTGATCAATCTACTGATAAAGTGATGAACAGTAATACCTAAAGCTTCCAGATAAGAGACCGCTAAAATAGGAAGACATTTGAATGATCCTGTAGAAAAGTTGTCAAGAAATACTCATTCCAAAAGAAGAGTATAGTGGAACTGCGATTGAACTGGATGAGAATAGCAGTACAGAATTATAAGCATGTTAAGGAAGGAAGATGAGGCAGTCAGTATTAGTTTGCCTGTTTCGATTGGCTTTGATTTGGACGATTCTGTGAGTGAGAATGGAAGTCAAGTCCCATCTGTAAATGTCAGCGGTTGAAATGGAAATCACATCTTCCGCGTCACCTTCAACGTCGTCTTCCATACACCTTAGAGTTACGAATTCCTCGTCTTCGTCCATGCCGGTGTTCGTCGCCATGAATACACAGCTACCAAATTTCTCTCCACTCTCGTGAAAAGAAAGAACCGGGATCGGGAAAGACCCGAGTCACTGGCATAAGAGCTATTATAAACACTAGACTAGACGCCGGTCCAAGAGTTTGTTTGGATGGGAAGATTTGCATAAAAAAGTTTCAAAATTTTTTTATTTATACCATAAATATAATTTTTAATTATTTTTTATTTTACATACATCACATCATAAAAAATACAATAATAATTATTTCTAATAAATATTCAAATAACATCCTATCCAAACAAAATTAACTTGTGAGGCTTTTATTCACTTTCCCCACCCCCATTTTTTGGTAAATTTCTCTTTTAGACTCGGATCCATTGAAATTTTTTCAGACCAACAGTTCACTTGCTTCAACAGCTAAAGAGACCATTCCTGTTTCCTTCATAGCTGTCCAATTTCCCTTCCTTTTGCAGTTTGCTGTACTGCGAAAAAGAATAAACCCAGAAAGACGTAGCGGACCTTGCTTTCACCTCTTGGGTTGTCATAAAAAATCTGACCCATCTCACGAATCCATGGGCACATCATTGATTCGGGATGCAAAACGAAACTGCACAATGGGTCACCATCAAAATTATGAGAAGGGCTGGGCTTGCCATCCTCATGTTCTGTCCTCTAAAGCCCAAAAGTGAGTTCCTCAATCCTTTGCATTTCCTCCGCAACGGATCTTCTGTCCCACACTCTATGTCACTCTCTGTCCCACTTTTTATTATATTACTATTTCTCTTATATAAATATCATGTTTTAGTTTTTTTTTGTTTTCTTAAAATCCAATAGCTATTAATTAAGTAAAAAATAAATACAACAGTTTCAAAAAATAATATATAATAGAAAATTAAAAAATACAGTCGAAAATTCATAAAAAAATCTCATTTTTTTATGCATTTTGATTTTTTGAATTTGTTAAATTTTATATATTACTCAATTAATAGTTATTGGATCTTAAGGAAGCAAAAAAGAATTAAAACATGATGTTTATGAAGGAGAAATAGTAATAAAATAAAAAGTGGGACAAAGAATGATACAGGATGTAGGACAGAAGATGCTTTGCGCTTTTCCTCGGTGAAGTTTCAGTAAAATTCGGCAAATCTTAAACATGAGCGCAAACTACAACTTTTATATTAGAAATCGCTTTTTTCGGGAGGTTTCATAGAAAATTTATTGTAGACATTTAATGTATGTAAGATAAACAATGTGTTTAAAAAATCTAGATCTAGGAGGAACAAGCTTAGCTTAGCAACGTAGCAGCAGAAGGATGGGCTGTGCATGGGTTGACGTCAGTTTGGGAAATCGGATTCAGAAAAGTGGTCGGTAGAATCCGTTTCGAAGATGGCTATTTCACTTGTTGAAGAAGGCAAGCAGGAGAGTCCTTACTTAGTCCTCATCATAACTCAATGAACAAGTTAAGGCAGTGGACAAGCATGGACCGGCAGTGTAAGGGGATCCCTTGTTTGAAGCGAAGGCAGAACCCATGATGATCACCTAAGAAGCACACGATCTATCTTTGTTAAACACACTCATCTCTGGTATGCATCAACCGGATTTTTCTTGTGACCGAAATGTCAGATGTTATAGATGTAACTGCATTTTAAAGCAATAGAAATTATGTACTGCAATAGGTGATCTCTAGCGTTGTTTAATCTAAACAACCTCCCAGAGTTCTGAGAATAGAAGGCCTCACAAGCGGATTTTCCATTACTATCAGTACAATGATATCTAGCGGAAAAGTTGGACCGAAGACATATGTACAGCTCCGGTTTCCACACTCACACTGTTCTGGTGTTTTTAAGTACAAATACATGAAAATTAAATAAAGATGGGGGAAGCTTTCCTGCATCCATGTCCAGGAGGCGCCTCAATGACAATTACCTTCTCAAAGCACCATAGTTCCTTGTGGCCTACAATCAGAATTGCTCGTTAGGTCGAATACCTAAAATCTTAAGAAAGGTTGACGGCTGACCTGTACATATTCAAGGATATTGGAATATTGGACTCTCCACTCAAAGAATATTGGAATACTTTTATCCCAGTATATTACAAGCATTAAATTCTAACTTTAGACTATTTGATCAAATCAGTGGCAAATTAAAATTTTTTTAAAAAAAAAAACTAAATAAAAGTTATATGAATCAGCAATAAATACTTTATGCAAGAAGTTAGGTGCTGAACCATGCGGAAGAAAAGGTGACACCAATGGTGGAGAGGCTTACATGCATGAAAGTTTTAATTAGTCAAAGCATAAAAAGAACAATTACAATGGTTACTCTACAAAAATGACAATTTTTGTAACATTTTTGTAGTTCTAAAGTTTCTCATCTTTCCTTAAAGATAAAATGATGCAGCTCAATACCTGGGAACATAAAGTACATAAAAGAACAAATAACTACGGATCATACTCCTTATATCAAATTCATCCACCGAAGAGAATTCCTAGAATATGGTAACGTGGATATTCAGGCACTACATGCTTTGACCACGTAAAACTGTAAGTATCATTCAAACTACGGTTTCAACTTTCAATTACATATTAAAAAGTGCGGAAAAATGCTAGAATAAATTGCAGGTCAGGGATTTTAATATGTAACCATATGTGGAAAGAATCAATTGCTTTCATCAAGCAAAAGCAACAAAAGGAACTAGCAAGTAATCACAATTAACATGACAAGGAAAGCATCAACAGTAGATTCAACTGCAATAATTTTGAAAGGAGAGGGATCTTGGTTCTTACAGCAACATATTCTAGAATTTGGTGACATCAATAGCAGCAGGAAACCCTAAAACATGAGTTTGTTTTGAATGTCACTTACCCGAGTTTGAGATCTATTTTTCTTTGCCATATCGTCATCGTCGTCGTCGTCATCGTCATCTCTGTTCATGAGCATCTTGTGAAATGAAGAAGACGTGTTATCTGATTTCCTTCCCCTTTTAGATGCTGTTGTAGAACCTCTACCCCTTCCCCTTGGAGCAGCTCTTTTCTGTCCTTTGCCTCGGACAGATTTTTCTTCCTATAACAAGCCAAAACAAAATTATTTGCTAAGGGTGTGTAAGCATTGGTATACTATTAAGATAGTTTAGAGACAGAGTTTAAAACTTGCGTATACTTATCAACATGTTAGTCAAAAGCATGGAGGTGCATATGGAAAACAATTTAAATTGTATCCACTTCCTAAATCTAAGTGTGAAAATCATAAATGACCCAATTACAGGATACATCGGTTTGACATGCAAAAACATTAGACCCAGGCAGATATGATCTGGGTACTCTACTAGTTTGTAACTCATCTTTATATACTTTTTTCTTGTACTCGAGTATTTATATGGTACAAGACTAAGTTAGAGGAGATATTCTGCTATCTTATATCATTTTTAACTCATCAGGTTACACATGCATTTTGTTTCCATGTCAAATTCACATTACACGTTATGCATATAATATGATCTCATCCAGAATATTCAATTGCTAATTACCTCTGGATCCTAATTAAATAGAACACATTTTCAAATTCCAGAAATATGTTAATACTGGTTGGTGTATTAAAATTCAGAACCTACATACAAATCTAGAGCCAAATCATGTACAAGTCAAAAAAGGACCAGCCATTATGAAGCATATCTAACCCATCGTTAAGCAGAGTAGCATCCAATTCAAGAAGGATATCAGGCGAGTCTATTATAGAAAAGCATAGCAATATGAAAAAGAGCAACTTGGCTTGAAACTTTAAGGAGTCCTGGCACAAGTAAATCGGCTGGAACTACTCATGCTATGCACCAATAGTTCAAGTTAACCAGAGACAGAGTCTCTACCTTGAAGTGTAAAATAAAACGCACATATGCTCACAGAGGATGTTTTACTTATCCATATAATGAAAAAAAAAATACCGAGCTATTTTCGATATCATTTATGCAATGTTCTGCTCCATCGTCACTTGAAGAAACCACATTCTCCTCATCTTCAGTGATGGTCCGCACAGATGCCATCGCTGCAGCTGATGCGGATCTGCAAAAGGTCATCAAAAGAATTTCTCCATACTGTCAACCAGATGTTCATGGAGAAGACTATATCTTCACACTACAGAACATGAAACTAAATAACTTCTTGCTTCATAGCTTTCAACTGCATGGACATGTCACTATAAACCAATAGCTAATTCACAAGCTACAATTCCAATTCTATAAAAGTATTGCAATAATGCTTTGAGTTCTGCAATATCAATCAGATGTGTTCAGACAAAGTCAGTGAGGAAATACATCTAAATATTACTGGAACCAGACAAAAGTTCATTTAGAGAGAATGTGAACAAAAAGAAGCAACAAAGAAAAAACATAGACAGCAGTCATTGCTAGACAGCCAGGCCAAGACCAACAAGTCCAACTCCAGAGCCTAAACTTCTGAACTCTGATGATGTCATTTTATCAGTATCATGATGAACAAAGAAACTGTTCCACTAAGCCAGCCAAAAAAAACCAGCTTAATCCCTGATCTTATTTCAAATATATGGCAAAACTCACAAGCAAAGCACAACATTTTCAATTCAGGTCCAACAAATGCATTGCTCAGCAGCTCAATTCAACCAACAAGTGTGAAAATCAGATTGAAGGAAGTCTTAGTCTACGTCTTGTATGTAACTGAAAGCTATCAAATAAACCTAAACATCAGGATGAAGGAAGCTTTATCCACTACACTTCTTGTATTTCAGCTTCCTGCCAAGTCTACTTATGAGAATGAAAAAAATCAGCAAGGAGAAAGAAAAACCGATCGTAACTACATAATGCAGCAGACTTTAAGTAACTCTCTGCATTTCGCAAGTCTAGTACCTTTCCCTTTTATTTCTAAGCAGATCACACGTACACAATGAATGTTGAAAAGAAATTCAATAGTGGAAACCACTAGAGCAAGAACCAAATTTTACCAGAAGGTAGGAACTTGGACACAATGTAATAAAATTACGGAAAACCAATAATTGCAAGATCTTTCTAAAATCTTAGTATTAAAGTGCTGCATCATAACTTTTGTGAATCGAAATTATTGAATGAAGTAACAACTCCAAGATCTTCAGC